ACAGCCCAGTGACTCCAGCTGACATTGGAAAGGGACATGAAAGACATGTTTTAATTAAATAATTATAATGTCACTAAGCCACATCATGACTTTCTATCAAAGGTTTAAAAAAAGCAGCACAGAGCTTACCTGGCCATCCAGAGGTAGGTCCACATTAACTGAGAACATAGTATGTCAAGTCCAAATTGGAACACATGATGTACCTACCTTTGCAGGACAATTAGCCAGAGTATTGGGAATCTAGAGTACTGACCTCAGTAGCTACTTAGCTTATTGGAAAAGGACTCTGAAAATCTTGAGGCTTCACTTCTCAATAAAGTTGCTTTTGCTGCCCAGACTCCTTATAACCATAACAAACAAATAAATACCACTGCCTTCTGAATTGAGCCTGTGTCTTTCCTTCCATTTCCTTAAGAAACAATGGAGTAGATTAAATCTTAAGGGAATTTTAAATGAGGAAACTTTGAAGACATGTTCCATTCTCTTGCTGGGTCACAGGGAACTTTGTAGAAGCATTTGTATGATTAGTTCTCTTTGATTCAATAAGGAATTTCCCAGGTGACACCCAGTTTACAATGTCAAAAGACAGAGACATTCCTTGGAATGAGTGTCGCATCCCAGGCACCCAGTTCCTCACCCTTTCCTTCAGTCCTTCCTGCTAGAAATACCTCCTTCTGATTGTGCAAACACAATGGGCCGTCTTACCATTCTTCCAGTCCATTTAAGGAGGTAGAAAACTGAAGACATGGGCGGAACTGGATGTTCACCAAGACAACAGATGAAAGCCACAGGTGTTACTTTATTCATGAGGGTGGTTGTATACTATATTTGGAAGGGCTACTCTGGTGTAGTGAATACTAGGATTTATAACAGCTCATGAATGCAAAAAGATCTGTAGTTTACTAAATGATCCCTGTTAGAGAGCCACATTGATCAAGTTATAGATGAACAACAGTCAACAAGTTATAGAGCTGGTGTGCTGGTGCATGTCTGTGATCCAAGCATTTGGGAGCTTGAGGCAGGAGGTTTTCAAGTTTAAGGCCAGCCTTGGCTGCATCCTGAGTTCAAGATCGGTCTGGACTACTATCAAGAACCTATCAAGAAGTCCTGAAGAGATGGCTCAGTGATTAAGAGTTCTTACTGCTCTTCCAGAGGACCTGGGTTTGGTTCTCAGCACCCACATGGTGGCTAACAACCATCCTTAACTGAAGTTCCAGGGGATCTGATGTCCTTTTCTGGTCTCCACAGGCATTGTATGCACATGGTGCACTTACATACATGCAGGTAAAACACTCATACACATAAGTTAGAAATAAATAAAATCTTTTTTAAAAAGAACCTATTGAGAAAAAGAAAGATAAGTTATACGAAGAGAGAAAAATAGAGGTTGAAGAGATAGATGGTTCAGTCAGTAAAGTGCTTGTCACATAAGTACAAGGACTGGGGGCTGGAAAGATGGCTCAGCGGTTAAGGACACTGACTGTTCTTGCAGAAGACCTGGGTTTGAATCCCAGCACCCACATGACAGCTAACAACTGTCCATAACTCCAGTTCCAGGGAATCCGACAACCTCTTTTGTCCTCTGCCGGCATTGGGGTTTGAATCCCAGCACACCTACATGCAGGCAATACACAAATACACATTAAAATAAAAATAAATACACACACACACACACACACACACACACGCACACACACACACACACGGACTGAAGCTCAATTCCCAGCATCCATGTAAAAGCTGGGCTTGCTGGTGGACACCTGTAATCCCAGAGCTAGGGAGGCAGAGACGGGGGATCCCTGAAGATTGCTGCCTAGCCAATCTCACTGAATCAGTGAGCTCAAGGGTTAGTGAGAGACCCTGTCAAAGGAAATAAGGTGAAGAAGACACCCATTATTAGCTTCTGGGCTTTACACACACACACACACACACACACACACACACACACACACTCATCCCAAAAGGAAGAAAACAAACTGAATTCTACAAAATACTTTGAAATTCATCAGTTAATATATACTAAGTCATTTTAAACATCTTGTTCATTGTTTCTAACTGCAATAACGCTCTGGTTTCTCTTCAGATCACATAAATCTGTGGTCTTTTACAAATAAGTTTGAGTGATGTGAGAGGAATCAGGGAAGACCATTTTTTTCTGACAGTCAAAAGGAGCTCAGTAATTCAACAGCCCACAGACGGGCTCAAGGCAAACCAGTGAGCCAGCTTCAAGACAGCCATTGTCCAGAAGAAGGTGTACAAGACAGGGCACCTGGAGAGCAATATTAAATTGTGCATTTCAAACTGTTAAAACAGTAGATTCCGTGGTTGGTGGAACATGCCTGTAATCCAAGCACTGGGAAGAAGCTGAGATGGGAGGATTCCTATGAGGTCAAGGACAGCCTGACTATGTAAAAAGACCATTAGGACACAGGGAACCTTTGGGATGTTTTGGACATGTTCATTACCCTGACTGTGGGGTTATATGTCCAAACTCATCAAATTGTACATGTTAATACATACAGTTCTTTGTATGCAGTTTTACCCCAACAAATCTTTCCTTTGAAAAATTAGATACCATTCAGTCTGTATCCAAAACACGGGATTAGCAGAACTATAGCTAGACTTTTCTAGTCCTAGAAGCTGCTTCTTAGTAGTAAATCCACAATAGCAGTATTTCCTGTTGAGTAAACCAAAGGAAACACTACCCTGTAGTCAGTCTCAAATTGGACACCCTTTGAGGGCAACAGGACACAACACAAATGTGAGGACTGCATGAGGCTGGTTGAACCTGACTTCAGGGAATTCTAGAATAGATTTATTATTTTTAAATATTTTATTTATTATTTTTATTTTATGTGTATGAGTGTATTGCCTGCATGTATGTGAGTGCACCTGTGTCGTGCAATGCTGCGGAGATCAGAAGAGATATTATTTTTAAAGTTGAGGATTTCAAACCAAAAAAAAAAAGAACTGTGCTCAGCTCTTCTCTGTCACCATGCCATCAGCATCCTGCACCCACAGAGCCCTTAGCTTCCTCATTCCTAAATGATGTTCTTTTATCAAATACCTGCAGTCCCACAGCCTGATGATTCAGGCAGATTGCGCCAATCTTGACAGTTATCTCCCTTCTTTGTAAGATCAAGCAGTCCTTTGAAAAAATCTGAAGGACATGAAAATTTACCAGATCACAAATTTAGAGCTTAGAGAGGATTACAGAGCAAAATTCCCCAACACACTCCTGGCCTTCCACAACAGTACCCATCGTCCATTCCTTTTCCCCTTCCATTCCCATACCCTCAGTCTGAAGCCTTCATGACCCTGCGCCCTTACACATGCTGTTCCCGCTATCCTAACTCACTTCCTTCGATGGAAGAATTCATAATCACCCCTGAGGACCCTGCTGTGTAAAACAGTCCCCAGCAACTGGGCACTCCTTTCTCTAAACTTCATAAGCCTGTGTTCAAATCTCTAGGAGCGCACCTGTCACATTCTATCACAGGACAGAATACAGGGAATTTAAGGTCAGGGCTTAATTTAAGGTAAGGACTAGTGTCTTAATCATTCAGTGATTAGCAGAGCCCCTGGTAAGTAGTATATATTCATTGCATTTTTAAATTGGTGAATGACCACTGTCTATATTGCCTTATGTCTCTGTGAACCTAGCTTAATAATACTGTTGCTTTTACTGTGATGATTTGTTCTATAGATAAGGGTAGTAGGACAAAGAGAGCGAAAGCATGATTATGTGGATTACTGCAAACTTACCAAAGAAGTGGGAAAAATATTTTAAAATCAGAGCCTTAAGCATGACTTTATAGTAACTGTGATTCCAAAACAATTTGCATTTCTGATTCTCCCTTCTGTCAGCAGAGTATGACAGAAAAATAGCACACAAACACATATACTTTGCAACAAGAGGTTTTTGTTTGTTTGTTTGCCATACTGCAGAGTAAATAAAGGAACTTCATGCACGCTCAGGCAAGCATTCTAGCAGGGAACTAAATCCCCAGCCCCAGAAGAGGCATTTCAAACGATCAAAACAGGGCTTGCAGATCTAGTGGCAGAACACTTGCCTGGCACGCACAATGACTTAGGTTTGGTCTCCAGCATGTCAAAATTAAAAAAAAAGAGTTTTATAATTGGAAGGGATGCCTTGGTGTGTAGCTCAGCCCTCTACAAAGCAGGAAATGTAGTTAGTCCTTATTGAATGACATTATCACGCATTAAAATGCATAAATAAGCCATAAGGCTGATGAATTAAAAAGAATTTCTGCCTGGAAGCTTTCAAAACTATGTATTAAAAGCATTTTTTAATATTTTAGTGCTAGTTTCCCCTTTGTGGTTGTTTGTGGTGTATATGTGTGCATACGTGTGTGTGTGTGCTTATCCATGTGCACATGTGTGTAGGCCAGAGGCTGACTTTGGCCCTCTTCCTCTCTTGCTTTCCATCTTACTTTTTGAGACAGGATCTCTCACCGAACCCGATGTTTGCCATCTTGGCTACACTGGCCAGGCAGAAAGCCCTGGGGCTCTGCCCTCCTCCACCAGCCAGCCTGGGGTCACAAGCACACACCAAGCCTGGCTTTTATGTGGGTTCTGGAGCTCTAAGCTCGGGTCCTTATGCTCTTTACCCACTGAGCCATGTCCCCAGCCCTATACCTGTTTTTTTCTTTTTGAAAACTGATCAAAGGTGATATGAGTTGTTTTAAAATGGCTTGTAAAAGGGTATAAGTTATACAAGCCTTGTGAAGACATGTGCATTGATAATGTGGTTATAAATTTGTCAGGTTTTATTTTAAATACCATAATAACCTTATCATAGATATTTGGAATCAAAAAGTTTGGACTATAAACTCAGTATCATCCATTATGTAAGACTTTTTCTAGATAGTACGATTCAATATTTGCTGCAGTTCTCTTCGTGGTCCTTTAGTCAGCACCATGCTGTTTTTCTTCTGTTATCTAATTATCTGAAACTTAAGAGGAGTGGGCACTGCCCAATGAGGGTGTGTGGTTGCTCTGGTCCTATGGGTGAAATCCAGAGCATTGGGAGTGACATCATCTTTCACAATAAAATGCTCCTTTGGTGAGCCAAGGACCTCACTTGACGCTCACTTGAGGGGCTGCATTTCCTCAGCTGTCTCAAGTTTTTCAACCTTCATACCGCACACCTGAAGAATCTTCTCTGACGTTGCTGCATGGTAAGACAGCCCTCAATTTCTCTTTAGAGTTTCATGAGAGTTTTTTGTAATCGAGCAAGTTTTTTATGTATACCTTTTTCTGCCAATATTATTTTTCATGGTGAAATGTTAAGGAGAATGAATTGTGTTAAACATAGCAATAAAATTAATTTATGGCAAGAAAAATCTCACAGATCTTCTATTTTGAGGATTAGAGCACCCTTCAATACTTTCTCTTTAAAAACACCTGGAAGTCCAGACAAATAATGAACACGGATCCTGGTAAGTCTCTTCTGCTTAACTAACACTGACAGCCTGTCCTGAGCTCCTGCTCATCATGTGCTTTAGTGAGTTCTTTGTCAAAATTTTGGAATGAAAACCAGGCTGGCAGTAAGAATAATTCTGACATAAAAAGTCAACAAAAATTTATTAAGTGGAGAGTCTGTCCATTTTCCTGCAGAACTTCTCACTTAGATTGCTGATTTCATGGTTCTTAAAGTGCTCAGCCTGCATACTGAGGTTGGAAGTTTTTCCTTTCATTACCAAATATTTATTCTTTTTACATTAAGAACATTTTCTAATCTTTAACATTGTGCATCATTTTAAAGATGCTTTACAGTCATTTCCAGCTCCTTCCATGGTGTTCTTTTTTAAAAAAAAAATTTTATTTGTTATTTTTATTTAATGTGTATGAGTGTCATGCCTGCATGTAGGTAAGTGCACCTGTGTCGTGCAATGCCCATGGAAGACAGAAGAGGCTGTCAGATCCCCTGGAACTGAGTTATGGACAGTTGTTGGCTGCCATGTGGGTGCTGGGATTTGAACCCGAGTCTTCTGCAAGAACAGTCAATATTCTTAACCTCTGAGCCATCTCTCCAGCCCCCCATGGTATTCTTATAAGAAGGCCATCTCCCTCTTAAGAGCAAGGGAGATGAAGCCGAGATGTTTGGGGTCACTAAGTAATGGGACAGAGTTAGGATGAGACACCGATGCTCCTGTCCTCCAGCTGTAATGTGACTGACACAGGGCAAAAGAAAACTTTCCTTTATCACTCTATATGTAGCTTTGTATTGCACAGTGGAGAAACGTGTTGCAGGCTATAAGGGTTTTTATGCTACTTTTAAGGATGCAGTTTCCTTTCCAAATAGGAGCACATTTCTATTGCAAATATCATTTAAACAGTAGAACAGTGTGCTTTCAGGAAAAGCATTTCTATAATAACAACCTCTGCAAGAATGGAAGTGTAGATAAATGCCAAAATATGCGTGTGATCTAAAAAGTTGTATGAGCAAGAAGAAAAAAACTAAATGTTATACTAAAACATACTGTCAATGAGTTGACGGTGTAAAGTATGGACAAGCATTTTTCTAAGAGCCAAAGCTCAGAATGTATACTGTAGGAAGTTAATAAGTGATTGTTAAATGCTCTGGCACACACAGGTAACACATACACATGTGCGTGCATGTGGAGACCAGAGGACAATGTCGGGTGTCTTCCTCTATCACTTTCTACCTTGTGTTTTGAAACAGGGTCTCTCACTGAACCTGAAGTTCACCAATTCAGGTATATTGGCTGGCCACTGAGCTCCGGAAATCTTCCTGTCTCTACCTCCCCAATGCCGTACCCAACTTTTTACATGGGTGCTGGGGATCTGAACTCGGGTTCTTGTCCTATACCTCATGAGCCATCCCCCCAGCCACAGTGCACATTTCTTAATTCTAATAACGTGTGCATTATTAATTCAGTAAGGATATAAAAATTAAATCTTATAGTTAGGCAGGTGGCCTGTAATCCCAACACTCCAGAGGCCACAGCAGAGGATCATGATCTCAAGACCAGTCTGGGCTACATAGCAAGATCTTATCTCAAAACGAACTAAATAAAATCTTACAAATTTGGTGTTTATGGTTATTATGGTATCACCCCAAAATAAGTTTCTTAATCATGAAAACAGTGTTTGCTTACTAAATAAACAATGATAATAACTTAATTAAGAGACTAGTCCATTTCAAGCCTATTGTAAGCATTTAGGCATAACCAACTAAATAAATCATGGGCGGAAATCCTCAAAGGAAGGCTCTTCATTAATCATGTGTTTTAAATTTCATATATTAAAATTTGCACAAGAAATTAATCTCAGAAAGTTACCTAAGAAAACCGTGCATCCAATTTCTCTAAGTATATATGTACATATACATATATGTATATATATGTTACTAATATGTGTGTTATATAGAGAATGATTCCAAAAGCCTCATAAGAAACAACCCAATGATCTACTGCCACACCAGTTACCTACTTACGTGGTTCTAAACAGACACCTAGGACTGTACTTATACACACTATAGAAGTACACTGACAGTATTTTTAGTACCTCAGTATTGCTATTGCATCTCCTTTCAGTGAAGATGTTGTCTGCGAAAGCCATGGCTAAAGTAATGCTTGTCATGCTGGCTGTTTGTCTTCTCACAAAAACGGATGGCAAAACTGTTAAGTAAGTACCGTAGCCCATTCTGCACTGGGAGGACATGGACTTGACGTTTTGTGATTGGTTTTACGATGGCCCTCTTTGTTTCTGTTCTTCGTAGGAAAAGAGCTGTCAGTGAGATACAGCTTATGCACAACCTGGGCAAACACCTGGCCTCTGTGGAGAGAATGCAATGGCTGCGAAAGAAGCTTCAGGATGTACACAGTTTTGTTAGCCTTGGAGTCCAACTGGCTGCCAGAGACGGTGGTCACCAGAGGCCCACCAAGAAAGAAGAAAATGTCCCTGTTGACAGCAATCCAAAAAGTCTTGGGGAGGGAGACAAAGCTGATGTGGATGTATTAGTGAAGGCTAAATCTCAGTAAACGCTGATTTATTCTAGATAGCACGGGGCAACTATATTGCATGCTGCTAACTTTCCCAAGCTCCATGAAGATCACCAAGTGCCAATACTTTGATGAAGATTTGTATGTAGCCCATTTCCAGCTATGATAGCTACAACTTGGGGATTATTTTAATTTCACTTTTATTCATTTAAGAGATCTTTCAACTATTGTGTTTCAATGTTCTATTCTTTTTAAAGTATGTTAGTGCATAGCTTATAAGATAATAAACTGCCCATTTCTACTTCTGTCATTTTAATGCAAAATAAAACTTTAATGATCATGAATTGAAATAGTGTTTCTTACTTGTTAAAACTATGTCTCTTTGGTTGAGATAGGCACTCAAATAGTTATACTGACATGAGTTTGTAATAAACGCAATAATTTTTTTCTTAACTCATACACTTCACAGTTTGATATTTTGAACACAGTCTATTTTAAATACCATGGGGACTGGAGAGATGGCTCAGCAGTGAAGAGCTCTGGTTGCTCTTGTAGAGGACCCAGGTTTGGTTCCCAGCACCCACGTGGTGGCTAGTAACCATCTGTAACTCCAGTTCCAGGGGATCCAATGCCTTCTTCTGGCCTCCGCAGGCATTATATGCATGTGGTGCGCTTATACACATGCAAGCAAAATGCTTGTACATTTAAATACCAGTGCATCAGTTGTCCAAATCCTTACTAGCTGAGTATTGCTGCTCCTGTCTTTTCAGGAAACACAATGACAAACTTTGGAAAGGGGGCAGGAAGTGGTCTGAGAATTGTCTGCAGCTGTACTCTGAGCTTCACAGTGCAGGCAAGATGAGTGTAGCATTTATCCATTGTTTACACATCTTACTGAGTGTCCATTATTGGGGATGTGCTCATCTGTGTGGTAGTATAAACACAGTAATAGACAAAACATGCAAGGCTCTTGTCTTCATGGAGCCCCAGATTTAGGCATTATCTCATGATAACTTTGACTAGTGCTCTGTATGGTAAACACAATATACCATAGGGATATAAAACACAGAGCTATATATATTTGCCTCAGTGATATCCAACAGGAATTTGTTCAGTTAGGGAAATATTCCCCACTCTGTGCAATCTGGAATCATGGCCACGCTTATGTTTATCTAAAATGTGTCTAGTATATCTGTGCATTTTACATTTTGTTTAATTGATTTCTACTAAAATGGCAACTTGTGATCAGTGGCCTCTATACTGGACTGTACAGACCAAAGTTCTCCAAGCACCTACAACTTTTCACTTACCTAGTGCCATGAATTAGACACTTTATATGCCTATGATAAAATCTAACATCAATTTTTTCCCTTTCAAAATAATGAAATTTATTATATATTCATAAGTTTTTATAAAACATGTTATTTCTTTGAAAAAAAATAAAATAAACATCCAACACACACTGCTCAGGGTATGTAATGGAACTTCTTTAATGCGTTCAATCATGCAGCCTCTTTTCACCCATATTCTTATTTCTAAGTTGATTCTTCCTCTTTTATATTTAATTCTTTTAGACTGAATTATTTTTTTAATATTTTATTTGGCAAGACATGGAATCTGTCTTTCCAACCATGGTTTCCTTTCCCCCACCAACCATTACGGCTAAACTAACTTCCCAAGGTTTGGCTAGTCAGCATCCAAATAAACAGCACTCATTTCTAACTCAGTTCAGATAAGGGAATTGATGTGGAGTCTTCCAAAAATATTTTCACCTAAATTAACTAAAACTTCTTTGTTTACATAACATCATTGAATTTTAGACGACTGAGCATGTGATCAGCTTCCAGGGTGGACATAGTTTACTACACCATCTTAGATTTCTCTCCATTTCAGGCAGCCAGAAGCATGAAATTATTATGGGTCAAGCCTGGAAAAGTTGGTACATGTTCTATATTTCATCAACTATGGTCCAAACATGTGAACACACTTAGCAGTATAAAGGTGTGCTGTGGGCAGTTTGAACCCATAGTACTGGCCTGGGTAAACAGTTCCCCCATGGTAACTCCATACCAGGAAATTTTCAAAAATTGATGGCAAGTCAGACAACATTTACACAATTCTTAAACTCTGCAGTCAGTTATATTTATATCTCATCATCTGAAACTAAAAAAGAACTAGATGTTGGGACTGGAGGGATGGCTCAGTGGTTAAGAGCGCTGGCTGCTCTTTCAGAGGACCTGGGTTTCATTCCCCGCACCCACATGGTGACTGACAACTGACTGCAACTCCAGTTCCAGGGGATCTGATGCCCTCTTCTGACCTCCGCAGTCATTACATGACACAGGTGTACTTACATACATGCAGGCAATACACTCATACACATAAAATAAAATAATTTTAGAAAGATGTAACTGCTTAATAAAAGAAAGAGAGAGAGAAAGAAAGAAAAAAAGAAAGAAAGAAAGAAAGAAAGAAAGAAAGAAAGAAAGAAAGGAAAGAAAGATGCCACCCAATGGGAGTGTTTGAGTGCTTTGGGTCTACAGTTGTGATCCAAAGAGTTGACAGAAACATCATCTGTAAATAAGTCAAAGCTCTTCTTGGTGAGCAGAGAGCTTTCCATGAAACCCACACTTGAAAGACTGCAGTCCAGTTTACCAGCTGTTTCAAGCTTACCAACCTATATACAGGATCAGCTAAGAGCACATCTGACAGATCTCCGAAGGCACTGTAAGGTAAGACATCCTTCAAGTTCTCCAATTTCATAAGACTTTCTAATAACTAAGCAGTAATTTCATGTATACCATTTTCCTTTTTAATGCATATGTGTGTGTCTGCATGAATTTATTTTAAAAATATTTTATCTATTATTTTTGTTTTATATATAGGTGTGTATCACCTGCATGTATGTCAGTGTACTCATGCTGTACAATGCCAGCAGAGGTTAGAAGAGGGCATCAAGTTCCCCTGGAACTGGAGTTAGGGACCGCTGTTAGCTGCCATGTGGGTGCTGGGAATCGAACCCAGGTCCTCTGCAAGAGCAGCCAGTGCTCTTAACTGCTGAGCCATCTCTCCAGTCCCCCCTCTTTTAATATTTTTTCAATTTATTTTTTATTTAAAAAAATTAATTTGTGTAAGTGTTATGCCTGCATGTATGAAAGTACATCTATGTTGTGCCATGTCTGCAGAGGACAAGGGTGTCGGATCCCCCAGAACTTCAATTACTGTTGTGATTAGCCACTATGTGGGTGCTGGGAATCAAACCCAGGTTCTCTGCAAGAATGGCCACTGCTCTTAACCTCTGAGCCATCTCTCCAGCCCCAATGTACACCATTTTCTACCAATCTCATGCTGTTTGCTCACGGTAAACATGTTACAGAGTTCGCTTATATTAAAAATAAAATATGACAATAAAAATAAATTTATGGTAAGAAAAGTCTCATAAATTATTTTTTGTGTGATTAAAGCCTTTTGAGATGCCTTGCTTTAGAAAAGAATAACACATTTCTTAGCACAGAAAACTGATGAACTTTGGTATGATAGGCTTTATTAGTCTATAAATTTTGGAATAAAATACAGGTTGGTGGTGAGAGAATAATTCTGAAATGTCAACAAAAATGTATTAATGGAGTGCATGTCCGTTATCCTGCAGAGCATCCTTACCTAGATTGCTAATCTGATGGCTCCAGGGAGCTTGGGCTATATATACTGAGGCTAGAAAAATTGAACAGATATGTCTGAGATCACTAGGTGGTAGAACTTAGCTAGAATTAGTCACCACTGCTCCTGTCCTCTAGCCACAGTGCTTGTGCCTGACACAACCCGGAAGAAAAATATCATCTGCTACTTCACCCATAATTTCGCATGCAGTGAAGAGAAATATAGAAAGTAAGCACTTGCTTAAGTGGCCTTAAAGAGATGCAGCTTCCTTTTAAAGGGGAGCACATGACATTTAAAAGGTAGACTGAACATTTAGAAAAGATGCTCCTATAATAAAAACAATCTCTGCAGTAGGAATAACTTTTACAATGTAGATATAATCTGGACTAAAGACTTTTTTCTAATCAAACAAAAAGTGTTTATAATGTAAACAAACTCACTGAGCCATGTGCTCCTCTTGTGACCTGCGCACCTGACCTTAATACCTCAGGACCCTTCCTTGCCCTCCACCCAAGATAGTGAATGAATGTATGTTCACATGGTTTACATATCAAAGCCCTGAAAGAAATGTGTTTTTCTCATTGCAAACAATAAGGGAAATTGAGTATGTGTGATATTTTAGGCCTAGGGAATGAAAGGACAAGATTCTCTAAGAAGATAAGGTGGGGGGGGGTCCTGACTTCTACTTTCCCCATTTTGTACTGGAGATAATGTTTCAATAAAGAATGAACAAAGTCCTGGCTCAGGAGCTCAGTTCCAAGAGACACTGAAGGAACAGGTTCTCAGAGTTCAGGTCCACTCTTGGCCTTAAAATGTATACTGAGTCAGGCTGTTTCTGTATTAAGGCATAATCTTAATGTGGTTTAGAAAAGCCACAATCTGCAATTATGGAAATACAGAGTGCATTAGTCACTTTTCTGTTGTTGTGCTAGAAACACTGACCCAAGCAATTTATAGAAGGAAGAATCTATTTGAGCTTATGGTTCCAGGGGAATTACAGTCCATCTCGGCAGGGAGGCATCATGACAGAGGTGGCTGGAGGAGGAGTGGAAGCTAAGCTCTCACATCATCACTCAGGCACAGGAAGCAAGAAACCGACCACAGATCTGGCAAGGTTTAAGAACTCTCTAAGCCTACCCCCAGTGACGTGCTTCCTCCAGGATAGCCATGCCTTCTAAAACATCCCAAAACAGTGCCATCATCTGGGGACAAAATGTTCAAACACTCAGAGCCTATGGGGGAAATTTTCATTCAAACCACCACACAGAGGAAGAAAAAAATATGCATATTAATCTGAAAAGCTTTAAGAGGAAATGAAGAAGAGAAGGTCATATTAGCATATATTTGTTAGTAGATTACTTAAAGACATAAAATGTAGTCGA